GAGATCGTCTACCTACGAGCCATGTCTACATCTCGCGGTGTTAGCTGGCGTGCGAAAAGTACTGCTACGCACTTCACTCACGGTGCGAAAATGTAGCCTCTGCTCACAGCAATGTATCAGATGTATAGGGTGTTTTCACATGACGTCACAGCGGCCATATTGGTGTTCCAAAACAATGAAACGGGGGCCATGTTGGTGTACCAAGAAAATCCTCTGGGAGTTTAACTCTTTCTCACGTAAATGATTTCTTTTGTTCCAATTAATTAGCATAGATACTGGCCACGTGAGTGAAAACGCTCTATAGTAATCGTCCATCGTTCTGTTGATAAGCGTGCTTGAGTTACTCGTTCGCTTAGGAAAACCCAGCAGGGGCACCCAACGTCAATTTTTGGAATATATCTGTTCGGAAGACGATTTCAGATCTAGAATTTTCGGAACAGTTGTTGTAAAATTTCTTGCTTCGCTGCCTCTCCTAGGATTTTCGAACATCTAACAAAAAGTTATAATTGCCCATTTTTAACGGATTTTTACTCTAAAAGGGTCACCTAGAATTTTCCGGAGCCTTTTTTCTGGCTGAAATTTTCGAAAAGGTTAGTTTTGATCTCTATGAATTTCGGATCACTAAACGTTCAGCTAGGAAATTCGAACAGATGAAAAATTTTTAGGGGATAAAAATATGCCTATATACAGTATACCGTTTAAATACTAAAATACGTTTAACAATGCTTTGTTCAAGTGGTTTTGAACTATATTCTCCTTGCGTGCCCCTGACCCAGTGGCTCGTATGTGGACAGTCTTACATTCACAGCCCCAAAGTAATTTGAATCTGACAAATTTAAATCGTTTCCAATCAAAGTTTTCTGAATGATAAACTCCCGTCTGGCAAATCCTCCAAGTGCTTATACACAGTTACACGCCATTTATGGCTTACGTCCGCGTCGGACTTTCGGTCCATAATTTCGGTCAAACACGAGATTTGGACTGTGAGCTTTTTATACTTCTTTAAGAGAGAAAAACGAGAAAGAAATGACAAGGGAGATTTAATCCCAAAAGCGTCCTTTGAAATAATTTAATACCTCACGAGGGAATTTAAGTGTATAATACACGAATGGAAACCGAATAAAAGCTTGTGACAATGAATTAATGTGCCATGCAGAGCTTGCTTCCGTTTGTTGCACCTGCTAAGACCGGATTAAAAAAAAACATTTCTTTTACGAAGGTGAATCGCCTTTTCATATAGCCCAAGGAAAAAGATCGCTGATGTTACTTAAAATAGGCTACGTATCTTGCTAACGCAAATATATTCAGCAGACGCCCAGTTGATCAGTATGCGTCACTCTCTTGTATATTGTGTATTTCCGATATTTAATTGCTAGCTTTATGGTGGGTAGGATTTCTTTCACTTGAGAGTTGAACACGGTAATACGGCCGAGTACACGACACGTTTGGTATCAGACCAACCTCGTTGTTTAACAACTGAAACCAGAAGAATTTCTGTAATCATCTACCATACGAGCCATGTCTACATCTCGCAGTGTTAGCTGGCGTGCAAAAAGTACTGCTACGCACTTCACTCACACTGCGAAAAGGTAGCCTCTGCTCACAGGGTATAGTAATCGTCCATCGTTCTGCTGATAAGCTTGCTTGAGTTACTCGTTCGCTTAGGAAAACTTGCTCGTTTGTGGACAGTCTTACATTCACAGCCCCAAAGTAATTTGAATCTGACAAATTTAAATCGTTTCCAACCAATGTCTTGTGAATGATAAACTCGTGTCTGGCAAATCCTCCAAGTGCTTATACACACTGAGTTACACGCCATCCTGACGCCATTTATAGGCTTACGTCCGCGTCGGACTTTCGGTCCGTAATTTCGGTCAAACACGAGATTTGGACTGTGAGCTTTTTATACTTCTTTAAGAGAGAAAAACAAGGAAGAAATGACAATTTCAGTTTTACTGTAATACTCTCAAAACAGCTGCTCCGGAGAATGTCAGTGAACACACACGAAACGCATACGGGTATCGAACTATGACTTGACTATGATTGTCATAAAATCAACCCAAACGGTCCCTTTGGGAATTTTCTGTTTTACGTCATCTTAACCATCCCTTAGGTGCGTAAACAGTAGAAACGTCATCATTACCCAACGATTCCATACAGACCTTAGCCTGTTCAAGCAAATCACGTTTCTTTTCTGGTATACCGACTGCATTTTTTAACTGTAAGTACTTTTCTTTATTTAAGCGTGAGCTACTGGGATGCCACCCCCGGGGGTGGGGGAGGGGGGGGGATACTCCCATACATTACCTATACGGGTATGTGCCGCCCAACGGGGTCGTGATTTTGAAGCTCCTGATTTAGAACGGGGTATGCATTTCAGAGGCGTTTTCTAGAACGGGGTATAATATTTCGAATGCACGAAAGCTCCAGTTTTGTAAGCAGCCATTTGAAATTATTCAAGGACAGATTGCTTTTAAAAATACGGTTCAATGCGTTACCAAGCAAAGTGTTGTACCCTTGTTTAGAAAGGAGTATAATAAACTGGCCCATTTTTAGAACGGGGTATCAGTTTTAGGGCGAATTCCAGAATGGGGTATAAAAAATTTGCACATTTCTAGAACGGGGTATCAATTTTAGGGGAATTTTTTTTAGAACGGGGTGCCAATTAGGAGTCCCGGGCGGCACATACCCACCCAAAAAATACTCGAGTGCCCCCCCACCCCTCCCGGGGATGCCACCTTGGACGGTTAAGATAGAGGCAATGTATTAATGGTCGCTCGTAAACGTAAAAGTAAAAGTCAAGCGAGTTTCAAATTAACATTACTCAAGATCTTCTATACATGCAGTGCCTCCTTGCGCATGTCAAATTTACGTGCGTACGCGACAGTGGAATTGGCCCGGGGAGACTCGCACTATAAAGACTCGCACATGAATGCGGGAATGTGCGTGCTCGTCGCGGTCGCCAAATATACCATTTGATTCTTTTAGTTGTTTTTCTCATACAAATGCTTCTAACTTTCGGCGGCCGTTACAATCGCTACTTTTGAGGTACATGACTGAAAATTCTCAGGTTACTTAATTTTAACATGTTCTTTCAGCTTATGCTAACAAAATTTTTCAAAAAAGAACTGCTGTCTTGTTTACCGAAAGTTGATCACGTGATCAAGTCATGCAAGAGCCTATTCGATGGTATAGCTCGCGCCCTTTTTTCGCTCGTCCACACTTACTGAGAGCCTGGCACAGGCTATTTTTTCGCGAGTGANCGCGGTCGCCAAATATACCATTTGATTCTTTTAGTTGTTTTTCTCATACAAATGCTTCTAACTTTCGGCGGCCGTTACAACCGCTACTTTTGAGGTACATGACTGAAAATTCTCAGGTTACTTAATTTTAACATGTTCTTTCAGCTTATGCTAACAAAATTTTTCAAAAAAGAACTGCTGTCTTGTTTACCGAAAGTTGATCACGTGATCAAGTCATGCAAGAGCCTATTCGATGGTATAGCTCGCGCCCTTTTTTCGCTCGTCCACACTTACTGAGAGCCTGGCACAGGCTATTTTTTCGCGAGTGAACTAAAAAGACAAATAGCTGACTTTCTGACTAAAAATTAAAATGGACTGAAGAAATGCGAGAATACGCTGGATATTATCTAGTTTTTGAGGAGTATCTGCAAAAAATATCCTCGGTTCCTAACATTCTCCTCCATATGCATAATTCTTCACATCATACTCAGCCTCATTCATTAATTGTGAAATATTGCAGTGTTTAGAATTCATAACAGCACTAACTAGAGTACAAAATCAACCTCTCCGCTACACCTAAACGCCCACGTCAATTTCGTTCACGAGTGCGTTACTAATTTGCTTTTTTAGAGCAAATTATTTTGTGAGGAGACGGGCGATAGATCGGCAAAAATACACAAATATTTGTTTAAGTCTGTCTGCGAAATGGTTGATTTTACTAACTTTCTAAAATTTGTGATAAAATCACAGAAAAATGACTAACACGTAGGGATTTAAATCACAAGGAATTTTCCACTTTACCTACCATGTTAAATCCAATAACGCCGACCAAGTGTAATTTTCATTTCTTTGAAAATTAATAACTTCAAGTTAAACTACTGGAATAAAAAAAAAAGAAAAAGGGGGATTTAATCCCAAAAGTGTCGTTTGAAATAATTTAATATCTCACGGGGGAATTTAAGTGTATAATACAAGAATGGAAACCGAAAAAAAGCTTGTGACAATGAATTAAATGCAAAGCTTGCTTCCGTTTCTTGCACCTGCTCAGAGTGGCTTTAAAAAATAAAACATTTCTTTTATAAGGGTGAATCGCCTCTACCTAACACTTCTGACATAATTTAGCACGTTCTAAGTGCTCCTTCTCATCAAAAATGATATTTGAACAAGACGCTACAGTATGATGAATAAAGTCTTGCAGGTTAACTTGATCAAATAAGCACTGATAGCTGGTTGATTATTAGTTACGTGTTGCAGTTAGTTTTTTAGTCAATTTTTATTTCGATGTCTTATCTCGTTGTGAAGACTTTAAAACGCTTAATTCGCAACGACCCCATTAATATTCCATTGCCTTTCGCTTAATTGTGTTTTTCTTTTTCGCAAAAAAGATCTAGTTGGTCATAGAGTACACTTAGTAATGCGAGCTGCGATTTGGCTCTCCGATTGGTAGCCTCGCTTTGCATCCTTTTAATCGTTGGCTAAGAAAAAAAATCGCTGATGTAACTTAAAATAGGCTACGTATCTTGCTAATGCAAATATATTCAGCAGACGTCCAGTTGATCAGTATGCGTCATTCGCGCGTGTTTTGTGTATTTTTGATATTTAATTGCTAGCTTTATGGTCGGTAGGATTTCTTTCACTTGAGCGTTGAACACAGTAATAAGGCCGAGTACACGACACGTTTGGGATGAGACCAACCTCGTTGTTTAACAACTGAAACCATTTTGTTGTTCGCAATTACGCTTGGAAACACTATTTTCAATGGCTAATGCGTTTGGTGAGTCATACGTGAAACTTCCGCCGATAACCGGAGAAAATGCGGTTGAAATCGATGGCGAAAATTCGAAACGAATTTCCAGTGGTGTCGGACGAGACCAACACGGTCTAGTCAGATTACCTCCAATCGTTCGTCTTGATTCGCTTCGATCTGCGTCGTCAACTGCACAGGTTTTTGCGAACGCACCAGGCGAAAACAAGACACAGATGTCAACACAAGGAACAAATTTGAAATTTTCCCCTAAAATGGACGTTTTACGGAGGCAAAGCGCAAAACAGTTAAGAAAACACAAGACTGAAAAGCCCGAAGACGAGAAGAAATTAATATCGTCGGTAGCTGTCAAGGAAACGGACGAGATGGACACAAACGTGTTCGACAGTGTAGATTGGTCATACCACCATGAAAAAGCGAGTCTTTTTAAGCCGAAAGAAAGATCAAGAGGTAATTATGAGGCCCTGGCTCCATCGAAAGACTCGCTAACAAGTCGCAGGGGAAGCGCCTCGGTTATAAAAGACTCAGCGGCGAAATTATCGAGGTCACGCAGACTGGCAAAATCTTCACCTGAACTATGTTACCGAAAGATCAATTTGAAATCTCGTGCAAGTGGAAACGTCAATGATGACAACGTTACATCCCCTTCCACTGCTCTGTCGGCTGATAGTTACTGGCATCGACCACAAGCTCGCCTCTCTATTCATGACATTGACGGCTCTGTACTCAGCCATTTACAAAGCACCCTGAAATCAAACGAAAAGAGGACAAAACGCAAAAAACCCGTTCGCTCCCAAACGGAAGGCAACTCAAGTTACCAACCGCTAAGCACCCCTAATTCGCCTGTTTGCAGTGAATCTGCTAATAACGAACGCAAAGAAAAAGGCAGAAGGTCCCTGAACGACATCACAGAAGCAGTTAAACAGTTTGTAGATCGAAGAAGGCCTTCTATTTCCCTGCCTAGGAAACAAAACTTGGTCGAAGAAACCGTGAAGCTTAAAATTGAAGGAAAAAGTTGCCCCCAAGCTGAAACCACGGCTGGTGACCGCACACCCACATTTTCCATTGTTGCATCACCTCGCTTACAAGCATCGCAAAACAAAGAGAAGAGGGCATCGCTGTACGATTTACAGCAAATTCTAGGGTTACTTCAGAAAGATGATGTCAAGCACCAGTCTTCGTCAACTTCTTTGTCGCCTGAAGTTGAACATGCTCAAAGTGGGAGAAGTAGTCAATCTAGAAACGCTTCTGTTTACGATTTAAAAGAGTTTCTAAAGTTAACAGTAGCTGCAGGCGAGACGTCAACTGAAAAGGAAATGAAGAAGCAATCAGGAAATAAAGCAAGAGAAATCAAAACACCAGAAAACACTACATCGCCGGTTTTTCTGTCTCCTAAACAAGAAATGGGACAGCGTCATGTCGATGACGCAAGAAAAGGATCTGTATACGATTTAAAGGAATTTTTATCACTTGGAAACGCTGTGGATTCCAACTCTCTGTCAACGAGTGAAAACTCAAGCAGATCAACTTCACCGCAAATCGTATTTTCTCCGCTCAATTCAAAACAGCTACTCTCTTTTACCAAGCCCACTGAAGCACGTCGATCTTCCACATACGATCTTATGGAGTTCTTATCTCTCCCACAGTCTGGAGGGATATCGCGTCCTCAATCAGGACAGAGCTATTCTTCCTCGCAAGGAGATAATGCCAAATCTGACAATCGAGAATTGAACGTAACCGAAACCGACCGAGATGGCAGAGAGGCGAGGAGTCTGTCAGTGTACGACCTCGCTGAATATCTAGCGATGACATCTGGGGTGCCTCCTCTTGTTCGAGTCATAAGTTCGACAGAGGATCAAACTGAAAAAACTAACTCAAAATCTTTGGGTGCAAGTGGAGTCGACAATGGAAACAAATACAAAAGGGAGTCAGTGTATGACTTACGGGAAATGCTGAAGTATTACGTTGTTCTTGTACTCCGTTTTGCGCTTAGCTGAGTGTTAAACGGTCTCTAAAATCGAATAAAAGTAGCCCTCCGATCGAGTTTTCTTGGCCTCGTGGTTTCAAGATGGGTGGGACTTTTGAGGGACGAAGATAAAACAGGGCCATTGTTAGTGAACTCCTCTTCTCCGAGCCCTGGTGCTAGCGTCAGCAGTGGTTATTCTAGCGATTCACCATCGTCTGGTGTTCAACAAACAGATTCTAAGGGCGTGGAGGTCAACCATAACACAAGTCCTCGTCAGATGTCCGTATATGATCTTAAAGAGTTCCTTTCTCTATATGCCTCGCAAAAGAACACGCCAAACCATCAGCTTCTGCCTGCGTTTAGAAGGAAATTTTCTAACATATCGCAAAGCGGGATTAGCATCCATGTAACGGACGAATGGAACAGAAGTCTCGACCTCGAAACTGACGATGTTTTTCTTCCTGTTCCTGCTAAGGTAGAGGCCAAGTCGCCGGAAACCAAAAGAAGCTCTGTGTACGACTTACGCGAGTTTCTAGATTTATTAAACGCGGACGAATCGCCTTTGAGAAGAAGGTTATCAAGTGTTTCATCAGCTTCGACTAAATCCAGTGAAAGTGAACCAGAGTCATTTCAACCAGAGCAAGAAACGCCGGACGCAAACTCGCCAAACCAAAACCCAGCATCTCCGCGACCTGGACTCTCGCCGCGTCAGGATTCGGGTGGAAACGTCTCTCTTTACGACCTCGGAGAATTTCTTTCGATTCTTAATACCGACGAATCTCCGCTAAGACGCCGACTATCGAGTGCAAGGGACTTTGCAACACAAGACGATTCGAGCAATCAAGCCGAGGATTTCGAAAAAACTCCGCTGTATAGCCTGGGAGAAATTTTATCGGTTTTGAACGATTTTGAACAGAAAAAAGTAAATGAAAACGCCGCTGATGAACGTCGACTTGGATCTGAAGATGAAATCAGTATTACTGTTCCATTGTTGCCCCAGAAAAAAGAGAAAACAAGCGTGCAAACGTTAGCGACGAGAAAGTGTTTATTAACCTCGCCGCAGAAATCGCTTTCAAGCGTTCGCGAAACGTCTGAATGAACCTGATCCTCTCTGAATGGCTCAGATTATTCAACGATGCTAGAATTGAGCATTGAATAAGTTCACAAGAAGGTTTTTAGCAATTCAACTTGCTTGAAAATTTTAATTTTTAAGTTTATTAAATTTTTGTGTGTAAAAAAACGGCGCTACGATCACTTTTCCCCGTGCATGCATTATGTAGGCTTACATGGAAAACGAAACGTTAAATGATTCTTTTAGCTTGATAGTTTTAACGAATGGATTACCTGAGAGTCAACTTATATATTCTGTGCCGGATATGTACACCTGCCTCATTGGTGTTAGCGAAAAATAGAGAATTTGCATATAAGCTCGCATGAACAAGTAAGGATATGTCAAGACCAACGAGAATTTGTTTAACTACAAGTCGACTAAACAGTGCTAAATAACGGGCGAAATCCATGTATAATAACGAATAGGCGTTTGATATTTTTTTGGTCTTGCTTTCATCGTAAGCTGTTGATATTTTTGATACCATTTTCTTGTATCTTCTCAACAAAATTACCGGTGGACTATAAGTTTAATTTATCTGTTTCAGATAGGCGATCTAACGAAGAGACTAAGTCAAATGAAGGCTTAGCTTTGTATAGCATTATGGCGTTCATCGCCCATAGCCATGACTACGTAGTAAAAACAACGCAACTTGTTTTGTAACTTCCAATAAAGCAAGCCCGACTGACGACCCGTTCTTTCAAATAAAGAAAATAAATATAAATGAAAAAATCTTCAGTAAGGATTATTCTAATTAATTCAAGAGTACACTGTCTCTGTGACATTAGTATAAAATATACCCACGAAAGCAAACAGCGTTCTGTTTAAATGAAAATCATTATCTTTATCATTACACGCGAAGTTTGCGAACATATCCTGGCATTTATGTGTCTAAACTGATATCTTACACTTGATTTTTGTACGACTTGGGTCTCACGGAGCAAAAACTGATCTTTTTTTTTAATTCGGCCGACCGATAGCAAACGAGCCAGTCTGAATTTTGGGTCGGATAGTGAACGACGCAATACGGAACATCTAGGCGGCGAAGAGTGTGAAAGCTTTAATTCATTGTCATGTGAGAGTGGTAAAAAAATTTGTAATTTTTACCAAAAGAGACTCGGTCTCTTCCTCAAACTTTCGGAAACCTTGAACTCTGAGAAAGAGACCGAAGGTTCATTAACTGCTTGTTTTAGATCGTTAACGAATCTTTATTTTACTGAATGGAAGGAAGACGCCTTTTTGAATACCATATTTTAACAATGCGCAGGCCCAAAAATTAATTGCTTTTTAACAATTAATTATAGCACATGGAAGTCTTTACTTTTCCACGATTCATGTCCCCTGGACAGCTTAGGACGGAGTCCCGATTTCTTGCACCACTGATGAGATCAGTTTTTCAAATATCCTTTTAAATCAAGCCAAAATTAGGCAAAGGCTGTTATTTTAGCCTGAAGTTTAAACATAACCCAAACAATTTCCTTTCCCCCCGCAGGGTAGAAATT